AATTTTCAAAATAAAGATTATTCAATACACAATAATTTGGCGACGAGGATAAAGAAAACATAAGTATAATACCTCGATAACATAGCAGACAATACCAGTATCATCGCAGTCTTCGAAAATAAAACATTGATAATTTCAAATATGGCTCAAGACCTCGCACCCCTAATAACAGCTCTCAGTGGTTTAGTAAATTCCCTTCAAGAACAGCAAAATGAACCATCTACAGTGAAAGATATTCTTCAACGGCAAATACTTACTTTCGAACCTTTCGACGAAAATTGTGAAAATTTTGATAGTTATTGTCAAAGATTAGAAAATTTCTTCAAACTGAAAGGACTCGATAAACAAGATAAAGAAACGAATGATGCTAAAGTAATGGTTCTAATAAATTGCTTAGGTAGCAGACACTATAAACTTATATCCAGTTTGACATCTCCAGAACTTCCAGCTACGAAAAGTTACACAGAACTCATAACCCTTCTGAGAAATCATCTTGCACCCAGACGGAATGTACTAACCGAACAACATAGATTCTTCTCAAGAATTCAATCACAAGGAGAATCAATTTCCACTTACGTTGCTACACTGAAAGATCTCATTAAAACATGCGATTTCAAGACCGAATGTAATCAAAATGAATGTTCAAAAAGAGTCCTCAACATGTTGTTAAGAGCACAATTCATAAGAGGTTTGCTTGATTCTAGTACGAGAGAAAGAATCCTACAATTAGTCGATGTTTCTTTCGAAAAAGCACTGGAAACTGCACTGGCGATTGAAGCATCTCGAATACAAAACCGAGAAGTTTACGAAAGCTGTTCAAATTCGTCTAGAAATGTGCATAAAGTAGAATTTCGTCAAAGCCATAATCGTTCCAGATCGAGAAGTAGAACTTTATCAAATCAACACACCCACAATCATTCCAGCTCACATTCAAAGGCAAGCAATCGAAACCTGAATTTACAAAAACTTGGACTCACAGGATTATGTCTCCATTGTGGCAAGAACAACCATCAATCACAAAACTGTTTTGTCACAGAAAAACTTCGATGCAAACTGTGTAATAGGAAAGGTCATATCGAAAAAGTTTGTATTTCATCAATTCTCAAGAAAAATCCAGCTTCAATCAAAAATGTCACTGACACTGTCACCACTGACTTTTCTGACGAAGAATTTTCAATAAATCAAATAATCGATGTTTTCAAAGGCACTGCATCCTTCGATGATTCAAAAATCATTATACAGGTTGAAATCAATAACAAACCTTGTAGTTTCGAGTGTGATACAGGAAGCCCTGTCACAATAATCAAACACCAATATCAACCATTTTCGAACAATTCAAAGATGTTTTCCAACCAGAAGTAGGCAGAATTCCTGATTTCAAATGTTCCCTCAGTCTTCGCCCCGATGCCAAACCAGTCTTCATCAAACCTCGAAGAATTCCATACGCACTTCAAGAACAAGTTGAAAAGGAATTAAAGAAGTTAGAGAGTCAAGAGATCATTCAGAAAGTCGATCATTCTGAATGGGGCACTCCACTGGTTATCGTTCCCAAGAAAAATGGAGAAATTCGACTTTGCGCTGACTATAAAGTAACAGTGAATCATCAGCTTCAAGATAATCGCTATCCAATTCCAAGAATCGAAGATATCTTCAACAAAATGCAAAATGGTGAATTTTTCTGTATCTTAGATATTTACATATTCCTGTTGATGAAGAGAGTTCGAGAATTCAAGCCTTATCAACTCATAGAGGTACTTACTTGGCAAAACGATTATTTTTTGGTATCAAGACAGCTCCGAATGAATTTCACAAGATTATAGATCAAATTGTACACGATTTGGAAGGAACTACAGCTTATTTTGATGACATCCTAGTTCAAGGATCTTCATTTGAACAATGTAAAAATAGATTGATCAAAGTTCTTCTAAAATTATGTCAATATAATATTCATCTGAATAAAAATAAATGTAAATTTTTCGAGAAGAAAATAACATATCTTGGACACATCATCACCAAGAACGGTCTTCAAAAATCAGATGACAAAATCAAAGCAGTTATAGATGCACCTAGACCAAAATCTAGAGAAGAGATACAACAGTTCCTTGGGTTGATCATGTACTATGCAAAATTCATTCCGAATGCATCAACAATACTATATCCTTTGAATCGTCTTCTGAGAAGAGATATAGACTACAAGTGGACATCAGAATGTGAAGCAGCATTAATTCAAGCTAAAAACGAAATAGCAAATGAAAGAATCTTAATGCCATTCACACCAGAACTAGAAGTTATCCTTGCTACTGATGCCAGTCCATTTGGATTATCCGGAGTTCTATCTCATCGTCTGGAGAATGGAACTGAGAGACCAGTTGCTTTTGTATCAAGATCGTTGACCAAAGCTGAATGCAACTACAGCCAACTAGATAAGGAAGCAACAGCTATCTACTGGGCCTTCAAAAAGTTATTCCATTATTTGTATGGTAGGAAATTCCTTCTCATAGTGGACAACAGACCATTGATGACAATTCTCAATCCTCAAAAACAACTTCCAGTATTATCTGCGACTCGACTGTTACGATATGCTCAATACATGTCAGGATTTGACTACACAATTCAATATCGAAAATCAAGCGAGCATACCAATGCTGATTATTTTTCCAGAAATCCGCTAAAATTATCCCCAGAAGAAGAGAAAAAAGTCGATGATGAACACATATTGAACATCAGTTCAGTAAATCAAATATGTAATGATATAGTAACAGCAGAAAAAATCAAATTCGAAACAGACATCGATTCAGATCTATCAAAATTGAAAAAAGAACTACTAAGTGGAACAAGAAAAGACCCAGAATTTTCATTACAAGACGGATTGATATTTCGAGGACACCGTGTAATCATTCCTAAGAAATATCAACATGCTATGCTACAGGAGCTTCATTCCACTCATCTTGGAATAGTGAAAATGAAAGCTTTAGCGAGAAACTATTGCTATTGGAGGAACATAGATCGAGACATAGAGAGCTTAGTGAAAAGTTGTATTGCATGCTGTAATGTAAAAAATAATCCTGGAAAGGCACCAACGCATTATTGGGAACAACCTACTGAGAATTGGCAACGAGTCCACATGGATTATGCCGAACCATTTTTGAATCATCATTTTCTTATAGTTGTCGATGCCAAATCAAAATGGCCAGAGATTGCTATGATTACAAATTCCCCAACAACATTTTCTACAATCTATCACTTACGAGAAATTTCCAGTAGAAATGGTTTGCCAGAAATACTCGTAAGCGATAATGCTTCTATCTTCAAGTCGGAAGAATTTAAGCAATTTTGCATGAGGAACGGTATTCTGCAAAGAACGATAGCACCTGGACATCCAGCCACGAACGGTCAGGCAGAAAGATATTGCCAGACTTTGAAATCAAAGCTCAAATGCATGATGGACGAACCAGGCAACCTGCATGAAAAATTGTGTCGATTTCTATTTCGATATAGAGTAACACCCCTATCATGTGGAAAATCGCCCTCCGAAATTTTCATAGGGAGAAACTTAAGAACGAAATTGGACCTCATTCGACCACAGCATTCAAGCAAGAATGTACCAGAACAACCACTGTTTGATAAAGATTTCGCAGTGGGAGAGAGAGTACAGTCCAGAAATTATACTAACTCTAGCAAATGGAGATTTGGTAATGTAGTGAAAAGATTAGGAAGACTTCATTACTTAGTTGAACTAGATGATGGCTATGTCATTAAACGACATTTTGATCAACTTCGCTCTTGCCACGCACCAAGAATGACAGTATTTCCTTTCGAAGCAAGTCCATGTCCTAATGTTATTTATCTACCTGATCCTAGCAAAACCAACGAACCGAGAAGAGTCACATTCAGTGATTCCGCCGCTCAACAAACGGAACCAAATCAAGAACCGGTGACTAGTGAAACACAAACTCATGTTCCAGCAAAGGACCAAGTATTGATCGATCAACAGCAACAAACTGGATCTTCAACAACTGAAGAATCTGTTGTTAGTTCAGAGAACATGATACCCAATTTGAGACGTTCAACAAGAACGAAAAAACCTGTAAAAAGACTGAATTTGTAGTAATTAAGACGCTTATGATTCCTTGAACAACGTTATAGTTAAAAGGTGGAGAATTGTTATATATTATAATCATCCTGTTAGTGAGGATTCATTCTTTTGTTTCATGACAGATGCATAGTGATAATATGTTTATAAATACGTCATGTTAATAATTCAATTTTCAAAATAAAGATTATTCAATACACAATACTAGGTATCCAAAATGTTTGTATTATCTCGTTTATAACATATTCGTATCCATTATGTCTCGATTTTCGATAGTAGTCAATAAGTAGTTTCGTGAAGGAGTGTCTGGCATCTATTATGATGAGATTCATTTCCAAATCTTCATTATACCCTTCTCCAGCTATCCTTCCTTCCATACACAAAATATCGTCTTTCATATAATATGGCGATAGTTTATAGATTTTATTTTCCTCTCGGATTTCTTGTAGGTACCAAACTCTTCGGTTATTTGTCACCATCTCTTCTTCATCTAGTTTCCTCGCATATCCATTCATCAGATAGTTATCTATTTTCACAAAGTATTCTTCTGCAAAACTTTCAACTCTTTCTTTTTTTCTCTCCATGCAATGAAGTCTGCTTAGGGCGTTATTTCGGTTATCTGGAAACTTGATATTGTCGGTTCTACACAGTATAGTTGTTTCTTCCATTATTTTTTCACATCTTATTTCTTCTTTTGTTTTTGTCAATTTCTCTAAAATTCTTACTCCAAATGATTCTGTGCTGAACGTTTTTTTGACAAGATCATGTAACTCTGCATATCTTCCTTCATTTCAGATATGATATAGAAATTCTTCATGTCTTGGCGTATCTACTTGCATTCTGCATCCTTACAGAGTTTTCGAGATGATTGGACTGTTATATTGCTTTTCTACTATTTTTCTTGGGTTTAGTAGATGGCATTGATCTTGACCAATAAGAAACAGCGGTTGTTCATTGTAGTACGGCCGAATATGTTCAAGGTAGGGTGTATTTGGATTTTTTTTTTCAGTTCTCTGATGTCCAGTGTTTGTCTTGGCAGCTTCATGTTCTTGATAGTTCTCACTCCATTCAATCGGAAATACTTAGAAGGATGACGTGGATCGGATACGTCAATATCTACCTTTCTAGAATTGTTCTCTTGATGGGTGATGCCGTTAGTCCATTGGTAGCATAAGGATTCTGTTTCTCCAACTAATTCTAATTGTTCTGCTAGATCAGCATCTATCAAGGATACTGTCGGATACTGTCGATCCATCGTCATCAAAGGCATATATCATGACCTCTGCTGAACGAATTCGATTTATTTTCTCTTAAACATCGCGAAATAATCGATTTAACTTTTATGCATAAAATAATCCATAATCATATCGATTCATCCTCATTACTCTCTCTGATTGATTTCAATGTACCAAGATCCGTGTCAAGATCAGATATAACGTTCCGCATTGCTGTGCCCAACACACAACATCACTTCCATTGTACCCTTACAACAATGTGCCGAAGTTACAACAATTTACAAAGTATTGATATATTTTTTCTCTCGCTGTCTCAATTCAAGCATAGACTATTTAGTGCCTTGAGGAACTAGTTTATATATATATATTAGTTTATATTCTTTTCGAGTTATGTATAGATATAGGTATATATTTTTAGCGATCCAACTAATAACCATGTATTATTACATACACCTGTAAATGGGCGTAAGCCTGCTGGATGTATTAATATTGAATAAATAAATAAATAAACCTCATGTTGCTGATACTTTATATTTACTGGCAGGATCTTCAACAACACATTGTAACTATCATTTTTTGTAAAATTGACGAGGTCAGTTCGAATTTCTTCAGGGTTTTCAGATCTTCGAGATGCATTTTTGCTCTTGTGTAGTGAAGGATGATGTAATCCACTGCAATTGTCGATTCCACAGTGGGTTTTCTCATGACACTGAAACTTGAAGTGACTCGATCTGAGACAGCACATACAAAGCTTTTTCTCTGTCACAATTTCCCATCGATCATCTACAGATAGTTCTTTGAATTCCTCGCAGTCATGTAGTTGATGATTTTGTTTACATTTCGGACAGTTTTTCATGATATTTCCGTTTTCGGTCTGGAAATTGATGAAACGGTGTCTCTTCGTGCATATCCTGAAGGACCTTCTCCTGAATTTTCCATCCTCAACAACAGACTATCAATAAAACAAGATATTTTTGCTTTTTCTCCCAACCATTCAGAAAATACTTTCAGATTGATATCATTTGGGTTCTTTACCAGACGCTCTCCCCAGTCGAGGCGTAAAAACCAGCTTCCTTGATAATTCGTCTAACAACTGCATGTTATTCATATGAGACTTCGTATCGAGTACCTCTATAGTGGATGTTAAGTTCAAAACTGCCTTTGTCGAAAGTTGCATCACCTTTGCCAGGTGATGCAACTTTCCTCGCCTTCTCTATTAACATGGAGATTATTATATCAGGTCTTCCAAAATTCATTTCTAATAATTCCATAATGATATCCGAATTACTCGAACTGATCAGCAGTGGTTTGACAATATCTCTCGCACGACCACGAAGGCATTTCTGGGGTCTTATGAGATTTTCTTCTCCTGAAAATTGGCAGGATTTGGTTGATCTTCTGAATTGAGAAATGAATAGAGGCCATTCTTCCGGATCCCCATTGAACAAAGGTGAGTCTCTGATTGACTGTCGAGTGAAAATGGTTTCTAGCTGTATATTCGTACACTTCTCTGTAAGTTTTCTACAATCTTCATCCAAATGATCGGATATAATACATTTGGTGTGGTCGAATTCTAATTCATTTTCATCGGATTTGATACTTTTATGATCTGAAGAGGCTCGTTCGTATTCAGTCAGGTTGATTCCTGGAATTCTCAAAAAAATTTTCACTTTTTGAATACTATCTATTGTACCTTCTTCAGAATCCCTAGGTATACTAGATATTTTACTACCTGCGGTACTAAGTTGCACATCTAATTCCATCTCGATCAATTTTTTCTCTCGGAGATATCTACTTGCATTTCAATTTCTTCTTTCATTATTCTCATTTTCTCTTCTTCCATTTTTTCTTCTAGCGCAGCTTTTTTTCTAGCAGCTTTTAAGCGTAGTTGGGAAATTTGTCTTTTTGATAAGCTCGTACACGTTGATGTAAATTGTTTCCTGGAGCCTTCTATATTTTCCATGTGTGCTTCTGGAAATCCAACAATTTTCTCTGGTATCGGTAATACTCTTCCAATTTCACCAGTAGGACTTCCTCCTTCGCCACATATAATAATATCTGATATTGCTTCCTTATTTTCACTAGTTGCACCATTTTTATCATAGTGTACTTCAACTTGAATGAATTTTCCCGACATTTCTTGTATTCCTTAGTGCTTTTCTGTATATCTCGAAGGACCAATTTTAATTCTATTTTTTTTCTTTTCACCTATATCAAATAGATACCTTTCTTTTCCGGAATTTCTTTATATATTTCATTGACATTAACAAATCATTCATTCATTAATTATCTGACACTGTCACTATTTCTCTTTTTTAACAACATACATGGTGTGTATTTGGAAACGAACGAATATAAATAATAATCTTCCTCAACATTATCATTGTTTACAATCATATGACATTATTCTATCACTTCATTCAACCCGTTACCACCTAGAATTTTCCCAGTTTGTGTGATGACAATTAAAATCCCCGAAAATAATGAATTTCTGGCCACTTGCAAAATTTCTCCAAAAATCCTGTGAGACAACTATATATCGGGGGGAATATAAATTGAAAATATATTCGCATCTCCAACTTCCATTCCAACTTCATTTACTCTTCGAGGTATCTGAAAATGATATGGCTGGAATGAAATTTAATAGACTTTTGACAGTTGACAAGTATAACAAAAAAAAAATTGTATTCCCTTGTTTCCTGTATACATGTAAGCTGAAACGAAAACGTTGCTCTGTCTGAGATATATCTATTCTGAACAACCAAAAATTACCATTTTATAATATTATCTGAGAATCTGTGGCCTACTTTTTTATATTGATTGATATAAACCAAAATTGCATAAAAATATAAGACACATTTGCGAACGGCAGCTCTTTGCCAGAGAACAGATAAGTGGATTCTTGTGATTGCAGATAGTTAAATTTCAAGTTCAGAGGGCGCCACTCAATTTACAAAACAATTACTGATACTTGGATAATTGAGAAAACCAATTAGTTGGGTACTTACAGTATTTTCCAAAACTTAATCCTGAAATACAAATATGAAAAAATCTTCTTAAATGGCAGTGTCAACACAAGTAGATGAATAAAACCATATCAAATTTCAGACCTATTTATTATCACCATAATAGACAGGGTTTATGAAGACCAGTGTAGAGACCAAATAAGTGTCAGAATATGTAGCATATGTTATCATGAAATATCTTAACATGACCATAAAATATCATAACCATAAATTGTCATAACCATAAAATGACTGTTTCTAGGGGAATTCAAAATTATTGTACAAGATCAAAATTTATCAACCAACACCATGACAATTACCACCTCTTTATATGACTAGCGTTTGGGTATAGCAATCATCATATTCCAACTATTGAATGGGATGTATAAATCTCAAAAAAATTGATTAGACAACAATCTGTAAAAAACCTGAAACCGCTGTCACATAGTACTATGGGAGAGCTTCACAAGAGCTTCATACATGTTAAATATGGTTATGATCAAAATGTTGAAATATTTAATTCAGATTTAAAAAAAATGATGGAATAAAAAAACCTGGTCTATTGGAGGGTCCTCTCCAATGGTCTAATCACCCCTATCCAAGGTCCACTATGGTGAGTAGGCATGCTCGTGAAGATGAAGATGAAGACGAAGACAGGAACGAAGACAGGAACAAAAAGAAGTTGATGGACCTCCACAGTCCACAGTAGGGCTCAGTGGTGTGGCTCAGCCGGTCAGCTTGACCGGTTACTACTGGGCTTGATCTGGGCCACCTGTCGACTCTGGTCAGGATAAAATGAGCGACCTGGTCCTCTTGGGAATCATGACCAAGGTCGAGAGATTATCCCCTCAGCTGTTCGCTACTAGAAGCCGAAGGCAGCTAAGCCATACCCTCACACCCTCATTTCATTTAAAGTTACATTCAAGTACTTCAGGATTATTTACCAAGTATCAGACTGAATGTTCTCTGTAAGTATGACTTCTTGTCTAGATCTGAAAGGTGAATATTCAAAAAATGGTAATGTATGAAACAAAAAAATGAAAATGATTCTTTGCCACTCCAAATGTTGCACTAAAGCAAATTCGCTTGAATTTTCATGCAAACGATACTAAAAATGATTTTGTAGCAATTTCAAATGCTACAAATCATAAACGTTCCACTTCATACTATTAGGTTGGATACTCCGGAAGGACATTATCGCAATGTTATTACCCTCACACCCTTCTGAGAAGGGAGGAAGGACTTGAAGAACTATTAGTTTCGAGTCTTCATACGCTGAAAAAGCCGGCTGCAGGGCTTCCTGGGGACATCAGGTAGTCTCCGAAAAGTGGGAACAAATCCTACACAGGTCCATGGCCAGAATCACTGATGTTTTGAACAATATCAAAAAATTTCAAATCCCCCGAAGGGTTTCTACGGATTATACCGAGAAAAGAAAAAATGCTCGAACTGGCTCAAGTGCACACCATGACGGTCGCCGAGAAAATGCCTCGAGATAGCTACCGGAAATCTCCTCCTAAAATTGCCTATCTAAACTTATCTCATCTAAAGGAGTGCTTCCTGCCAAAATTCAGCGCCAAATATAAAATCCAATCATTTCATTGGTCAGAAGAAAGACACCAGAATTACTAGGTCCAAACTAACAGAAGAAGTACCGAAGAAAGAAGAGAAAAAGAAGAGTCTTCTTTTTCTTCGGTAGTACTATGTCACAACATTGTAAGATTGTGCTTAAGTCCTACTCACAGAAGATGAGTGACATACTGGACAATGACGTTTGGATGACAATATTATAACCCTAAAATAAATTCCAGAAAATAAAGAAAATAATTCTTCCAAGACCGAAAATACCATTTCAAATCGAAAAATCACCTTAAATAATCCCTGAAATGAACCAGCGACATGGGCTTTATCACACCTGCGAACACCATGGTAAGTCGTTTGTTTACTCTCGGAAGGGACAACAACATTGAACTATTTCTTCGAATTCTAGGCCTCTAGGATCAGAACGCCAGAAATCAAAGACTCCTGCAGCTTATATCATCACCTCCCATCGGCACATAGAAATTCAGAAGACATCACTAATCATGACTGTTATTATTTCTATGATGTTATTCAAAAACTGTGTGATAAAGTGGTTCATTTAAAGTTACATTCAAGTACTTCAGGATTATTTACCAAGTATCAGACTGAATGTTCTCTGTAAGTATGACTTCTTGTCTAGATCTGAAAGGTGAATATTCACAAAATGGTAATGTATGAAACAAAAAAATGAAAATGATTCTTTGCAACTCCAAATGTTGCACTAAAGCAAATTCGCTTGAATTTTCATGCAAACGATACTAAAAATGATTTTGTAGCAATTTCAAATGCTACAAATCATAAACGTTCCACTTCATACTATTAGGTTGGATACTCCGGAAGGACATTATCGCAATGTTATTTCAACAATATCACAAAACTTATATCAGAAAAATATGTTTGTTATGTATGATGTTTAGTGGAATATTTCTGCAAAAAATCTCGTGGAACCTTAGATAGTTGAATACCCTAGTCCGGCGATATCATGGTGTCAGCCCACTGTGTAGTAGGCGATTTCCAGAGATTTTATAACACTTTTCAATTGGAAGTATTTATGACTCAAGAAAACTCATTCCCAACCAGGGGGATACTTGGAAGATGGTTAACATTGAACTTTGATCATAGATCTGGCGAGAGATCTGGTATAAAATACCAATAATCAATCGCAGAATATCCCACAATCAGATAATATAAGCAAGTCACATCAAACTGACACATAAAGAGTGTATACACCCTATTTCGAATTCCTATATACATCTCTTTCGGAATCCAAAGGGATGAGCTAGAACTTTCAAATAGAATTTGAAACTATTACTACTACTTCCTGTACCTTGAAAAATGTATAGGCTTGAAGTCAAAGGTTCTCAGAGCCCCACCCAGACAGTACCAGATACTCCCTATCATATTCCTTCTGGAATAATAGAATATTCTAGAAATAATTTGGAATATTTCAGAATATATGTGGATTATTCTCTGGATATGCAGATGGAAATTCTCCAGATATTCATAGAGTATGTCCAAAAGAATATTATATGTTGAATATTCCTGGAATATTCTAATAAACATATTGTGGAATGAAAAAAGTCTCAAGATGGACTCAATACCGTGACTTCTAGACTATCAGAGCAACGCCTCAATCACTAAGCCAGTAATCAAATTGAATAATTTCTTGTAAGAGCGTTGTTAAGAATCGTATCATGAACACTTTTCATTTCGAAATCAAACATGGAAATATTCACGGAATATTCCATGAATATACAACACAGAATATCCATTCGAAATAGTCGTGGAATATTCATACCTGAATAATCCCTGAACAATCTAACTTGTAAATTTACGACAAGTGCCTGTTCAAGGAAAACTACACAGTGCGCACGCTTGGAGGGAATAGTATTTATTATTTATTCATAACCTTACAGCAATTTTTCAACATACAGTGTGTCCCACTTACCATGCTCACCATGGGTATCTTTTTAACGGTGAGAGATACGGGGTCGGTTAAATGACACCAAATGTGGAGTTTGTCAAGGCCAACTATAATGTGAAAAAATCTTTCGATAAAATCTATTCGTTTTTGTTTTATACGCTAAAAACAGATTTTGATCATTTTCATTTCTCCTCCGTAACTTCTTTATTTATGAAAATATTCAAATAGGAATTTCACATTCTCATGGCACTTTTTCAAGGTGATTTCGAAAATAATATGAAATTTATATCAACTCTTCTAGAATTTGAGATATCAGCACCAACTTTAGTTTTTCAAATGTAGGTCATAGCTCACTATGACTTAGTTACGAATAATTTTTTTTCCTCTTACAGATGATATGTCGCAATAATAGTTTTGTGTTGATAACAACGGAGTTATCGTCATTTATACAAAAACAAAAAATTATTTGGAAGCCACCATCTTGAATTTATGAATTTTAACAAAAGAATCATGATCTCCGACCTCAAAAACCCCCACTCACCAATTTTCAATGGAATCGGACCAAATCTTGTCCGCCATCTTGGAGCAGTCATTTTTTTAAATTTCAACAAAAA